TAATCTGTTAATCAAATTAACAGTGAAATTTCTCTTCAAAACTAGCTGCTTCGTGTATTAATTTCTATTCTGTCATTTTTTGGTAGTTCCAAAGAAAGATGAAGATTTCTGAAGAAATCTATTTTATGGCGCTAAAAAGAACTGTAAGTCCTACAAAAATATTATCCAACGTTACGTAATAAATTTGCTTTCTAAATAAGGGTTTCAAGGGATTCGCCTACCTCACTCATTTTACATTTTTATTGTGGTATTGTTTTCTGCTATCGTTTCTAAACAATTTTATTTCTACATCAAGGGTAGATGCAGCAAGCTTAGCTTCATTAAATATTGCTTTCCAACTGTCGAGAATAGCTACTAATTGTGAAAGTAAGCTTTCTATATTTGAAACCTCCATCTATAAAGTCGCGTTACTGGCTTGAATGACTTTGTTGCAAATGTCAATAGGAATTAATATTCAAAGCCACAGGTTTCTAGTTTTTGGAGTAAGATTTAGCTGAAGCAAGTCTAAAAAAGCCAGCTTTATTCCTGGAAGGTGAGCTCCAAACCGCACTTAAACTCTTACGGGTTGTGGTGTGGCGCACCAGCTGCACCCCCTCTCTAGAGCCTGTTTTTCAATTTAAGTTCAATAACTAATGTTTATATCTAAAATTAACAATAGGTTGCCAAACCGTTCGGAGTTTAGCAAAATATCATGGCCGAACGTTCTGATTTGGTGTTCGGCCAAAAACCGGATTCGGCGCATTCCTACTAATTATTTTTAGTATTGGTATTTTTATGTTTGTTGCTATTAATCAAGTTATTTCTTATCATTCGTCTCTTCATAATATTTAAAAATGTCATTTTTTTTTCTTTTTTATTTTCTATCATCCTTTTGATCATCAAACATTCCATTATCTCATTTAATCGTTATCTCTTATGTCAGTTCCCTTTTTTTGTGTTATTTGTCTTGCTTTTTTAAAAATTATTGTTCTTTTTTTAATTTTATTTTGTTCGTTATCTACATTACTTTTTTTCTTTATTTGTTTATTTTATTAAGGTGTCACTCCAATGACAAGTTTTTCTCTATATGAGTGAACCTATTTTTGTAAAACTATAAATAAATTTGTAACTATTTCAAATTTACGGTTAAACAAATGGGATAAAAAAAAAAAGGATTTTAAAAATAATATTTGTTTTTCAAAAAACATAGACTTTTAGTGTATTTTTTTCCAGGAAACTCATCATTTTTGTAAAAAACAAGTATTATTTTTAAGATTTTTAAATACTTCTTAGCAGGCATTTTTTTTTTTTAAAGTTTCTTTCTAAATGTATTTTAAATATCTTTTTAAACATTCTTACGTAAAGAACGATTAAAAGACGTTTAAAAAACGTTTAAAAGACATTTAGAGCGTAACTTTTATAAACAAATGCCTGTAGGGGCTTTTTTTGATATCCAGGTTGAGCTAATTGGAAAAAAAAAATTTTTTCAAAGACAATATTAGCAAGCTAAAAAAAATTTTCTTTCAAAATTAATATCTTTTCCGAGTTTTAAATGTTTCCCGCAAATAAATGTTCACAATTTCGTACATATATACAAATGAATTTAAATGTATTCTACAAAGCAGAGTGATTCAATGTTCTTAAGAGAGCAGAGCATAATAAATTAATTTCTATCTTTATAATTGTATTATGACTTTTTAAAAAAGAAACTCTATTCTTATACTGAGTCAGGTATTTTTAATTTCAACACTAAAATTTATTATATAAAATTTTATTCCTGTGATTTAAAATTACAAGACTAAAATTTGTTTAATGATATTGTATAGTGCTAGTTTTTCATATATATTCGTTTTAATTCAAAAAGTAATTTGATATTGTATTAAGACTAAATCTTTTTTCTTCTTTTCCTATTTTCTTTTATATTATTTGAAATATACATTATTATTATTATAATATGCAGAATAAACATTTTTTTGCGTTGGGAATTATTTTATATTGCATTGGATGATTAGAACAGGTCTAGCATTATCTAGAAATGAAATGATTGCAAACTTAAAATTAAGTTTTTAAACACCAGGGTGTCATAATGCATAAATTCAAACTTTAAAAAGAAAAAAAAAATTGGTTTACATTAACTTCCTTGGGATTTCTAGATTATAAGAGTTAAACTTTTGATAAAGTCATTTAGGATGTCTAGAGAATTATTGTTTAAAAATTTCAATGACGTTATAACATCATTGAAATTTTTAATATACCACTATAGTGGTACCCATTACTGAAAATGTATGTGTTGTATTTAAGGTGTATGTGTTTTTAAGGAGAATCTACTGGTAGCGTTAATATTTTCAACCTATAACAGTCATTTACTTTCTTGTTTAATAAAAATAGTCTTTTATGATAAATTTGAAAGTTGTTTATCAATTAAATCTTTTTCGTTTTACTTAAAAATTAAATTTCCAAAAATCAATATATTAGGCAGAAAAATATGACGCGGGGGAAAAAAGGGCTTGTGGGGTATCGGTGTCATGAGAGGGGTGAAAATTCTTTTAAATAAACTTATATTTGGTTTTAGTATACCAAGTAGGGGAGATTTGCTTTAACTGGAACAGCGCCTTAATTGGAACACTTGCATTTATTTTTGAAAAAAAATGAATTATAGCTATATTTTGCATTTATTTTAGTAAAACGTATTATTTTCGACGCTTTGAAACATTTCGAAAGTTGTTCCTCAAAAAATGCATTTGCACCATTGATTTAAAGTTTTTTTGCAACATTTTTTTTCAGTGATCTAATTTTAAGTTCACACTTTATCAATTGCGCTGGGTAAATTGTAGTGTTATAGGTTATACGGTGGGATTCGATGGGATTTAGAATGCAAAATAACGATATAAACTTATTTATAAGGTGCTGCAAGCATATTATTGCAGTGATATAACAAAATAGTCTTAATTATCCTTAATTGGAACATTAAAGTTTTTCTTACCTAATTAGTAATAAAATCAAAGGGTTGTAAAAATAGTTCGAGTGCAATTAAAAAATACTTAGTAACAACTATAAACCGTAAAGATAAAAATCATTTTTAATGCTTTCACTGTAAAGATAAAAATCATTTTTAACCAATTTTTGTTGATTTTACTAGTCTTTTTTTTTAAAAAAAAATAGCCTGTTCTGATTTAGGAGTCAAAAAGTTCCAATTTAGGGAACCAGTTACTTTGATTGGAATAAAATGCTATCTTTGCAAAAACAAATTTATTTCCAATAAATTTGTTTTTGCAATAATTCAAATTATGGTTAAAAGTATAGTAGGGATGTCTGTTTGTATTAATCAAATCATAAATGTTTTCATAGTTAAGCCATCTTTGGTTAATAAATATTTATTCCTAAATTGTTTCAATTAAGGCAACTCTCCCCTATATATAGAACTACGAACATAGTTAATATATTATTAATAATATTATGTAAATAATATATTTTGGGTTATTTTAAGAGAAACACTTTAAAAAGGGTTAGAAGGGGGTCATATATGAAATTTTTTGCAATAATAACATTTCATTAGATTTTATATAACAAAGCTAATAATAAAAGATTATTAAAAATGTGAACCTAGTTGATCATCGAAAAAATTTTAATTAAAATAAACACTTAAAAAATGGTTAAAAATATAAAATTTTCAGAACTTTTTGGTTTTAGTAAGCAAAACCACATATGGACGGATTAATCCACAAACAAGATATTTCCACCTTTTTGTAAAATCGACTTTATTGCGGTAACAGGTTTTCTTACTTCTAAGACATCATAGTACAAAACATAACTTGTTTTTAGTAATGATTTTAAATACATAAATATAAAAAATTAACAATAAAAATCCATGTAAGTGCCTATACGGGGCACTTACATACTTACAATCCATGTAAGTGCCTATACGGTGCCTATATGTAATACTTTTATGTTGCTCCTGGACAGTTGGGTTTACTGGAGTTATATCGTTTGCGGAATAAGCCGCAAATATATATATATTTAAATATATATATATATATATATATATATATATATATATATATATGCATGCATATATATATATATATGCATGTATATATATATATATATATATATATATATGCATGCATATATATATATATATATATATATATATATATATATATATATATGCATGTATATATATATATATATACATATATATGCATATATATATATATGCATGCATATATATATATATATATATATATATATATATGCATACATACATACATACATAAATACATACATACATACATACATACATACATAGATATATATATATATATATATATATATATATATATATATATATATATATATATATATATATATATATATATATATATATATATATATATATATATATATATATATATATATATATATATATATATATATATATATACAGCTATGGGAATTAGCCGACCTCGTTTCTATCTTTTATGGTAAAACCTTTGTGTTAAATTTTTTTCGCCGACCTTTAACAGATTAAAGTCGGCATATTATGGAAATTAGCTAACATTTTACTACATACAACCTTCGACATTTTTGCTAATGTCGAAGGTTGTATATATATATATAAGGTTTTACAAAAGTCTGTGTATGTATATTATTAGACAATATTCTTCAGAAATATGTCAACCTAAGTATCGAAAAAAGCGAAATCATATCAAACTTTCAAAAATAATTATGAATTTATAAAAAAAAAGTGTTTAAAAAAGTCAAAAAACTCTTTTTTAATTTTAGTTTAAAAGCTATAGTTTTAGGCACTAAAATATAAAAAAAAAATTTTATACAATGATTATTATTTTTGATATTTGGGTATAATTTTGTTTCTTTTGAGACATAAGTTAATATATTTTTGAAGAACCTTATATATAATATACACACATACAAATATTTTTTGTAAATAATAAAACTGATTCTATAAATTTATAAGACTATACTAAGCTATAAAGTTTACAAAAAATAAATGAAATAAATAGTTTTATAAATAACTTATAAAAAGGTCTTTTACAATAAAATTTGTGCTATTCAAATAAGGTGAAGCAAACACCATAACATTAAATGCTGTGCCAAGTATTAAAATCACACAAACTTTGTTGATCAGATATTGGATCACTGGATTTTTCGGGATAACTGTTAATGTGTTGCGTAAAACTATCCGTTGAAATTGCTGGATCAGGATTTATACTCTGTTGTGTATCAGAAATATCTGTGGCAAAATCATACTGAATTTCTTGTTCATCTTTTACACTAGATTTTGTGAAATTCGAAGCCCTTAAACTTTCGCCTGTAACACTTGTCTTTGTTATGCTGCGTACTGAATTATGAAAAGGAAATTCAGGATGTTGAATGGATTCAGGATGTTGGATGGATTCAGAATGTTGTTTTAAATGGATGTTAAGATGAGACTTGTTCAAGAACTTTTGATCACAAAGAGTGCAGCAATACTTTTTCTCATTTCCATGAGTCAATAAGTGTCGTTGAAGATACGTTTTCCGAGCAAATTTTTTTCCACATTCACTACAAATAAAATCTTTTGATACTGAATGCGTAGACATGTGACGCTTTAAATCATAACTATGACGGTAACTCTGGCCGCAAATATTACAAACAAATGGACGTTGGTTTACATGAATCTGCCGGTGTTTATTGAGGTTGGCCTTATTGTTAAATCTCTTTTCGCAAACATCACACTGAAAAGGTTTTTCACCAGTGTGAATGACAGCATGTGCCTCCATATACCTAAAAGAATATTATTAGCCACAATATTTCTAAGCTATGTACAACATAAAACATTGCTACATACAATATAAAACAACATAACTATGTACAACATAAAACAACCACATTAAACAAAATACATACTCCTATAAAATTAAAAACTCACACACGTACACATAACACTAACAAATACATTAATAAAATAAAAGCATATGTATACATAATAGATAAAAACACATATCACAAACACTCACATATATAAATTAACTCATACAGGTACATAGACAATCCCATATACAAAATGCCAGGTTTAAATTTTGAACAGGTGAGAAACTGTTTTCAATGAAGTTAAGAATAATATTATTGAACTGAAGACAAACAAAATTATAGTTAATAAACTATTTTTCTAGCAATTACCATTTACTTGTAAAAGCACTTCCACAAACTTCACATATAAAGCTTTTTACACCAGCATGAGACTCTAAGTGGCGACGTAAATGTAATTTGCGTCGGAACTTCTTTCCACATTCAGAACAGTTAAACTGACGTTCTTCAGTATGAAGTTTTTTATGGGCAGCAATATTTGTTGTTGACTTGAAATGTTTTCCACAAATTGGACAATTTCCAGGTATTTTGCGTCGTTTTTTAAATTCACTATTGTTATCATCATCACTACGATTTCTTTGCTTTTCATGAAAATGAGTTGAGTCTAAAAGAAATTAAGTTTCTAATTGAAAGTAGAAATAAAACTCAATTAAATCTTTACTAAAAAATTATTGTTAGAAACTTTTTTTTTCAATCTAATATCATTAAAATAGTGGATCCCAACTAGGGTCTATAAAATCCCTTTGTGCCCTTGGTGGACCACTAAGAATCATAAACTTTATTTTTTGGATAGAAAATTTTAAATTTTAGCAAATTTTAAGAAACCAAGTTTAGTATTTTTCAATTAAAGTTTGAAAGAAACTAAACTTAGTTTCTAAGAAAAAATCTTTATCATTAAATGAAAAGCATAAAATAACTTTTATTAAAGGCCAGCCAACAACTAATTTAAAATTCCAGGACATTTCCAACACTTTTTAAGGAAAATTTTGGGTTTTATTAAAGATATATTGATCTTTTCTTGACAAGAAAAAGACAAAATATGTTGATTTATAAAAAATATGAAAATGAAAAATAACTAAATTTTAATAATACTGAAAGTATTATTAACAGTATTATTAATTAGTCATCACAGCGTAATACTAGCACAAATAACTTTAAACATTCTATAAATATTCCTTGTCAATATTTATATAACCAATAAAACCAATTAAGTGACCCTGATACAGTCACTGGAGGAGTAAAGCATTCGGATTTGAGCGCTAATACACTGCTGTTAAACATAATGAATCAAGAACTTATAAAAATTTTAAAAACAAAAAAAATTTGATTATTTAACCTGAGTGATATACAAATGTAACCTTTTTAAATAATAAATTTGAGGAATTCATTAATCATATATCCAGATCTAATGCTCAAGTTATATTTGTGTGCGAGACTTGGTTGTCAGTAATGTCTACTACTATTATTTTGGGTTATAATCTGTTTAGAAAGGATTGTCAATTTAGTTGTGGTGGTGGAGTATGCATTTATATACAAAAGCATATTAAACCTTATTAAATAAATGAACAATTTCTAATAAATAAAAATATTGAGCAAGTATGGTGTTCATGGTTGTATTTACCGGACAGGTCTTAGTAATAATGAAAAGTATGTTGACATTTTAAAATCATTAAAGCAGGCATATTTACTTAAACAAAATAATTAATGCTCCGGTATTTTAATATGTGTTGATTTTAACTATGCAAACATCAAGTGGAACGAATAAAACTTTAATGAAATTATAAATAAGAGTAACACAACAGCAAGTATGTTCATTTAGTCGTTACATGACTGTTACCTGCACCAAAATGTTAACTGTTTTAGTTTTCAAGTAAAGTTTGGTATAGATACTAACATTTTAGAACTTATTTTAACTGATAATAGCAACATAGTTTCTGGAGCATTTTCCAGTGTTAGGTGGCATCAATCATGGTCATCTTAATTTTGAAATTTAGATTTGGATATGAAAATTGGTCTAATTTATTAATATCACAAAAAACAAAAAGGATTAACAATTTTTTATAAAAAAAAGGGAACTATAAAGCATTAGATTTGTATTTTAAAAACTAGGTATAAGAATTTAAAGGACTTGTTGTTAATGAATGTTACAAAAAATGGTTTAGAAAATATGAAAAATGCTTAAAAATATATTCTAACACTAAATTTAGATAAAAATTCTTTTCAACACAAAAACAAGTCACTGTGGATGACAAGTGAACTTAAAAGTGTGTAAATAAAAACAAAAAGTTGGCTTAGAAATAGAAGTTCAGGTTTTAAAAGTCTTTTAGAAGTTAATAAGTATAAAAAATTAAATAAAGATATAAAAAACTTGTCAAAAAGAGTTTTCGCAATTTTGAAAGAAATTTGGCACTTAATTCAAAAAACAATTCTAAAAGTGTCTATTCATCTATTAATAGCAAAACAAGATTTAAAGACTCTTTCAAAGCAATAATTCTGCATAATGGTATATTAACTACTGATAATCAAGAGATAGTAAACATACTTAATGAAATTTTCTGTTTTTATACGAGATGATTTAGTTTTAGGCAGTTTTAGGCAACAATCTTTTTAAAAAATGTACTTATCCATATTTTAGTATTTCTATTATTCAGAAACATTTGAGTAATTTTAACATGTACAAAGTAGGTCCAGATAATATTCACACAAAAATTTTAAGGGAATGTTCAGAATGTTTGTCAAGTTCAAAGGTTATAGTCATGCGCAGTGTTCTGTTATTCAAAAAAGGGGAATAAACTAGATCCAAAAAATTATAGACCAGTTTCACTAACATCAATTGTTGGTAAAATTATGGAGCAAATTATTAGAGATTGTATAATGGTGTTTCTCATTGAAAACAATTTAATTTCTAAAGAGCTACATAGTTTTGTTAATAACAAAAGTTCTATAACAAACCTGTTGGAAACATTTAATCATGCAAGCATATGAAGAGGACATTTCAGTTGATGTTTTGTTTTTGGATTTCAAAAAAGCATTTGATTCAGTCTCTCACATTTAAATCCCAGTCTAAGTAATTTTTCCAGTCTCTCACAATTACTGGAAAAATTACTTAGACTGGGATTTGAGTCGTCTTTGTTAAATTGGTTTAAATCATTTTCATATTAATCCAGCTATAGGCAAAGCAAACAGAAAATTAGGCAAACTCTTTCGAATATTTAGTTGAATGTTTATTAAAGTTACTATACAAACCATTAGTACGTCTTCATTTGGAATATGGAGCAACAGTTTAGAGTCCATTTTGGAATAAGGACATTGACAATCTTGAATTCGTGCAACACAGAGCTACTAGAACCAAATCTTTAAGGCAGAAATATATAAATAGTATGAAGAAAGATTAAAGATACTTGAATTTGCATAATAGAACTTTGCATAATAGAAGAAGAAGAGGCGATCTAATTCAAATATATAAGATCTCTAAAGGGAAAAATATTGCTTATTTTCACCAACCTCTACTAAATTTTGAGCTGGAACGACCAAGTAAAAGTAACAATTGTAGAATATGCAGACAATTTACTAATTTGTCACCATTTCTTCACGGAGTTACAAATGATTCGAATTCTCTTCCTCAATGGATAATAAATAAAGATAACTTGAACCTTTTTAAAAACAGCATTAATAAACTTTTTGGTTTCTGAACACTATTTTTTGTAATCGGCTGTCATAGTCTTAATTCTAGTGTCAGGTCAGGAGTATGGTCTTCATGATCATCCTGCTACTGGTAACATGTAACCCAGTGCAACCTGTTCCATGTTCTGCTGCCTTGCAGGATTTGCTTTCTAAGCAAAGGCTGGAAGAAGTGTGCTTCCTGTCATCAGTACTATCTTATATCAGTCATGCCTATAGTAATTTTTTTTTTTTAATATAGTTGGAGGTGCCTTAGTTACTGTATTAGCTCACCTGTAATCTACTTTATATGTATGTTTGTGTTCTGTCTGAACCTCTGGTGCGGTGTTCGCTCGCCTGTAAGTTACTTTATGTTTTTTATGTATGTCTGTGTTCTGTCTGAACCTCTGGCACGGTGTTTGCTCACCCGTAAGTTACTTTATGTTTTTTATGTATGTTTGTGTTCTGTCTGAACCTCTGGCGCGGTGTTGACTCACCCGTAAGCTGATTTATGTTTGTTTGTGTTCTGTTTATTCTCTGATGCAGCGTGAGCTCAGTAACTAGCTACTTACTCCAACTACAAAACCTACACTCACCTTAGACTCCTGTATTTTATTAGATGCAGTGTTTTTCCTAATGCACTTCCAAAATGTCATGCCTGGTTTTCTTAAAGTACTGTTGCGGGAAGTAACTCCTTTTAACTACTCCAGGTCAGGTCAGGATAATCAAGATCAATCTTGCTACTGGTATCACGTAACCCAGTTCCACCTGCCACAAGCCCTGCTGCTTTGCAGAGTGTGCTCTTCTTAGGCAAAGGCTAGAAGAAATAAACTCCGACTAAAAATTCCCCTGTCTTGGGGCTCTTGGTTGAGTAAAGGCTAGAGATGGTGTCTCGATAAAAATGCTCATTTGGGCAGATGTTAACTGCATCCAGCTAAACATCCACTGCCTTGGGGCTCTTGGTTGAGTAAAGGCTAGAGATGGTGTCTCGATAAAAATGCTCTTCTTAGGCAGATGTTAACTGCATCCAGCTACTGTCTTGTAGAAGGCCTCCTAGGCAAAAACTTTAGGGGTAAGCAGAAAAATTCTGCTAACCAGCCTAAAATATCAGAATATTAACAGTGCCATGTTGTGCATGGATGGTGTCCCTGTGAATGCTTTTGGTGTGCGTTGTCAAGGCCACAAAAGGAGCCCTATGTCACGGCTCAGAGTTAATTAACAGGACTGAGACAACTGCATAGCTCATTGATTAGGAGGCTGTGCTTTATCAATAAATGAGTCAAGTTCTCATTAAACCCAAATCATGACAAAAGTAACCAAAAATTTTAAACCTAAAAAACCATCCCCACCACCTAAATGTTTTAATATATCTTTTACAAATATTCGCGGTCTGCGAAGCAACTTTCCATCAGTTGGGTCTTACCTCCTGCAAAATTCACCAGACTCGCTTGCACTCAGTGAAACAAATTAAAATTCTGCGATTCATTCTTCAGATGTCAGTGTTGAAGGGCACTAATCTTTGATTGGTAAAGACTCCAATAGTCACATGTTAGGTTTAGGGGTATACATACGCATTAATTCCCCTAATTGTCGTGAAAAGGTTCGAATCCTTTGACCATTTTTTTATGTGCTTTCGCCTAGCACCTCTTCACTCTATCACCTTTCTCTTCGTTCTTTATCGTTCTCCTTCTTCCCATGATTGCACTCTTTTAGATGTTATCTCTGATCAAATTGACCATGCCTTCTCTCTTTACCCCTCTGCCAATATTGTTGTTGTTGGAGATTTTAATGCCCATCACACTGAATGGCTTGGCTCTAACACCACTGATCCTGCTGGCACTAAAGCCTTTAACTTCTGCGTTTCTCAATCTCTTACTCAGATAATTAACTTTGTGACTCGTTTTCCTGACAGCCCGAATCATTTACCTTCACTCCTTGACTTATGTCTTGTCTCTGACCCAAGCTTATGTTCAGTTTCTCCCTTTTCTCTCTTAGGTGGTTCTGACCATGCAATGATCTCTATAAATCTTTCTTCTCATACTTTTTTTTTTGGGCTCACCTTATCATCGCACCACCTACTACTACCCTAAAGTTGACTGGGATTCTTTTCGTGACTCCTGGATTCAGGCTGGAATGAAAGCTTTTATTCCTTCTTGTCGGTTTTAAGTCAAGCTTCATTCTACTCCATGGTTTTCTCCTTCTTGTGCGGCTGCTATATACAATCGTAATCATTTTTTTCATCTTTTTCAAAAGAACAACTCTCTTGAGAACAAACGGCTATTTGTTATTGCAAGAAATCGATGTAAAAAGGTGCTTTCTGATGCTAAGCTCCATTATTCTCAGTTCACTAAATCTCGCATCTTATCGCAGAAGTTAGGCCCTAAAGACTTTTGGAAAATCTTCAACAGCATTGTTAACAAGGGTAGATCTAACATTCCATCTCTCATTCATGGGACTGATCTTGTTACCTCTCCCAGGGATAAGGCAGAACTGTTTGCAAAGAACTTTTCTTCTAATTCCACTCTTGAATCTTATGGACATTCTCTTCCTTCCATTCCAGTCAAACAGGTTGACCCATTGTTAGACATTCAAATCACTCCGGCTTCTGTTGCTAAAGTCATATCTCAATTAATCTTGTCTACAGCTTGTGGTCCAGACAACATTCCTGTCACAGTCTTGCAGAATTGTTCTCCAGAACTTTCTTCAATTCTCTCTAAACTATTTAACAAGTGTTTGGCTGAGTCTTGTTTTCCTGCTTGTTGGAAAATGGCATCTGTGGTTCCAATATTCAAAAACTCTGGAGAAAATTCTGACCCCTTCAATTATCGTCCGATCAGTCTTCTTTCTGTTATTAGCAAGGTTTTTGAGTCTTTGATCAACAAATTCCTCACATCTCATCTTGAGTCAAAATAAACTGCTGTCAGACAATCAATACGGTTTTCGATCCTCTCGCTCTACGGCTGACTTGCTAACTGCTGTAACTGAAAAATTTTATCGTGCATTAGATGGAGGCGGTGAGGCTAGGGCTATTGTTCTCAACATATCTAAAGCTTTTGACAAAGTTTGGCATGCTGGTCTTCTCCACAAGCTTGCTTCATATGGTGGTTCTGGGAAAGTTTTTGAGATTATCAAATCATTTCTTTCTGACCGGTTTATTAAAGTCATCCTTGAAAGCCAACACTCTTCTTTATTTCCAGTAACTTCTGGGGTTCCCCAAGGCTCCATCCTGGGCCCTGTTTTGTTTCTTATCTACATAAACGATCTTCCTGACAACCTTTCATCTAAAGTAGCTCTTTTTGCTGATGACTCAACTTTATACTCCTGTCTTGACAAAAAGTCTTCTCTTTTCGATCGCCTAAAACAAGCAGCTGATCTTGAATCTGATCTCACTTCAGTAATAGATTGGGGTTCACAGTGGCTTGTGAATTTCAACTCTAAAAAAACCCAATTGCTTACTGCAAACAACTACCGTAATATGGTCAACATTCCTATATTAATGAATGGCAATCCTCTTACTGAGTCCTCCTCTTTACGTCTTCTTGGATTATCGCTTACTACTGACCTTTCATGGAAACCATATATACAATCGATTGCTAAATTAGCTTCTGCTAAGGTTGCTTCTCTTTATCGTGCTCGCCATTTTCTTACTTCTGATTCCATTCTCTACCTCTACAAATCTCTTATTCGTCCCTGTATGGAATACTGTTGTCATATTTGGGCTGGTTCTTCTAACGATTCACTTTCTCTTCTTGACAAGGTCCAAAAACGCATTGTAAATGTTGTTGGACCTGGACTATCTGCTAAGCTTGAACCTCTTTCCCATCGTCGTCAAGTTGCATCTCTTTCTCTTTTCTACAGATACTATCATGGTTACTGCTCAAAGGAGTTATCATCTCTAGTTCCATCAACTAAAATTCATTCTCGTTTTACTCGTCATTCAGCTAAGTCTCATTCGTTTACTGTATCTGTCCCTGCATGCTCTAAAAACTTTTATTCATCTAGTTTTTTTCCCCGCACTTCAATCCTTTGGAACTCTCTCCCATCTTCATGTTTTCCTGACTCATACAACCTTTAACTTTTCAAGTCTTCTGTCAACCGTTTCCTTGCTCTATAACTCTGTTCTTTTTTTTTTCCTAGTAACTCCTAACTTAATAGTGGTTGCTTGCTGCCTTGTTGGGAGTGAATGCAAATTGAAAAAAAAAAAAAAAAAAAACTCTACATAATTAAGACTCAACACACCTCAAGTGTGTACAGCGTCTTTTCTATTCTATTCTAATAGTATTTATATACTCTTGGAAATAAAAATCTAAAAAAACTACTCAGCCTTACCTTGTGAAACAATTTGATGGATGATATGATCAGATATTTCTAATGATGATTGTACTTTGTTTAAAGATGCCAATTGTGTAAAAGAATGAGACACAGTAGAATCAACATTGTTTATATGTGAAATATCTTCTTGTGGAGCATCAAATGTAGAAAGGAGTGTATTGAGTTCGTCTTTATGCTTTTCACCATCAAACTGCGGAATTAATTCCTGTTCATTAACAACTTTTGATTGAACCTAAAATAAGAAAAAAATATTTTTTGGAATTACTAAATAATTGTTTTTTTGTTTGTTTTAGGTTTAGTAAATAAAAAATAATAATAATTATCTAATCCATATTAATAAATTCTACACTTACTTGGTATATATATTTTCTGATTATATTTTTGTTGTTATTGTGATATTGTGATTAAAACTTTTGTTTAAAATAATGAACTTAAAATTTGAAACAAAAGCTCTTTGTTCACAAACCACTACACCACTATCAAATAAATAGTTATTAAATGTGAATCTTAAATTTCTCAATCAACACTTATAAACTTTTAAAATCTTAAAAATTACTGTGGTTGCTTTAATATTTTAAACACTTTTGTGAATGTTAGAATCATCTTTTGCAAATTTTATTTATTTATTTGTAAGTAAACAAATAAAGTTAATAAAAGTATTTTTAATGAATATTTTGTATAAGGAAAATTAAAAATAAAAATAAAAAAGTAATTTTCTTACATTAAGAATCTCATTTGATGTATGAACTTTTTCCTGAACTTCTGGTATATGATGTTCAAATTCAGTCCAAAAGTCTCTAATAAGGTGCTCAAGATGTATAAAACTTGATGTGGGTTCCCAAGAGTACTTTACCCATCGTACTTTATAGTACCGAGTCCCATCCTTATTTTAAAAAAAAGAAATTATAAAAAAATATATTTATTAATAAAATTCAAATTAGCAACAAATAAAAAATTTTAAGTATGTTTTATTTTTTTTTAACCAATAAAACAATTATATAAAATGATGAAAACATCCTGTTAACTCAACTGTTAATAAATAACTTTAATTTTCTAAGTTGTCGAAAAACATTGTTTGCAAATTGCATACAATGTTTTTCGACAACTTAGAAAATTAAAGTTATTGCATTGCAATATTTACTGATTAGTAAGTAAATATCAATTAAATTGAGATGTAATGGCTCTCTTATTTGCGAAATATCATCAAAAAAGTGGAGTTTTTGCAAAATTAAAGTGCTAATAAAAAGTTTTTTTTTAACACGAACTAAAAAACATGAACTCTGACTTCAGATAACAGTTTGTGAAAAACATGGAAATATATATTATTTTTCAACAACTAAAATTCATAAAAACTTTAACAAAAAGTAATTAAACTACACTATTCAAAAATAGTTGCATCATAAATGCATTAAGCTCTTTTCAACATACCTCTTTACAACTTTTAAATGTTATTGTGTGGAAATTTCAAACGTCGTTTTAAATAAAATTTATTTTAATTAAAAAGTCATGGTTTTCACAAAAATTGCGGTTTCCAGAAAAAAAACTTCGACAAACCTTTTCCAAAACAGTATCTATTATTTTTTCAGCACAAAATGAAGCGCCAAAAGTTGCAGCTATAGCCTGAATACTATCAAGAGGAATCGTTTCATCCATGTAATTAACTTGTAGTTTGTGTAATTACCTAGACGGTGTTTAAAGTCTTAAAAATTGTTGTTTTTTTATGTATATATATTTGCCTATTTTACGGAAAAGAAATTTCTTAAAATCTCAGCCGTGCGGGATTATTTGTTTAAATCAATGCTTCCCGCGCTAACTTTGGAATGATATTAAACTTGTACTTTTAAAGTTGCACTCATTAATTAACAAAGTGTAAACTTTAAAACCATTTATAGTAAAAATGGAAAGCTGAATTAAGGTTTCCGCATAAATTTTATTAATTATAAAATGCATGTTACATACATAAATATATATATATATATATATATATATATATATATATATATATTCTTTTTATTAGTAAAATAAGCATTTCGTTACAATATTTCAAATACAAATATATAATAATAAATTTATATATAAATATAATGGTCGTTATTAGAAAATAAAAGAACGCGGGGACTCGTGGAAGACCATACGGTCTTGTCGTCGAGTACCGCTAAGAAATGTTCGTGTTAAAATTTAAAAGATAATTACAAGATTAAAAAATAAAAATAAGTTAACAAAAGTAAGAAACTTAAAATACTCCATAATAAATACAAGATGCGTTATATCTATTATATATGTAAATTATAGTTGTTAAGGATAGGCATATACTTTTTATAAGTTCATGTTTAAATAAATGGTAAAAATAAAGATCACAAAAAATATCAGAAGTATATTGTTAAATCATCGATTGTAAAAATGAGTTCTTTAAGCTTTTGTTTAAAAGAAAAGTAGTTACTTTGATTAATAAAATCCTCAGTAAAATTTTTTAAAACTATTTTATTCCATAAGAATGGTCCGTGATAATCAATACAAAATTTCAAAAGATTTGTTTGAAAAATGGGCAGCTTAATAAAATTATTATTGCGTAAAATGTATTTATTTTTATCTTTTGATGAATACAAATTATGGAAAGAAATCGGGGATGAATTGGTTTTACATTTAAACATAAAACAAAGAATATTAAAAATATTAATCTCATATATATTAAAAACCTTTATTTCAAATAAAAGAGGCTTGGCATGAGTATAACGGTCTTTAAAATATATAAGACGTGCTATATGCTTCTGCTGACAATAAAGAGGTTTAAGTTTGTTTTTATTTGCACTACCCCAAGCAATGTTTGCATAGTTTATGTGGCAATGAATAAATGAGTGATATAATTGTACTAAAGTTTGTTTATTTAAGACATTTCTCGCTTTGTACAATATTCCTATACTTTTTGAAATTTTACTTGATAAGTTTTTAATGTGATTTTTCCATGTAAGATTTTCATCTAAACAAACGCCTAGAAAATTAGTTACTGTTACTTTTTTAATTTGTATATTGTCAATAACAAGTGGAGGCATGTTAATTGGCAGTTTATGTTTTTTGGTAAGAGGATGGAAAAGAATCCATTTAGTTTTATCAATGTTAAGGGATAGTTTGTTTTTTTTTGTTTTTTTTTTAGTTTTTTTTTTCAGTTTACAATTATTAATCGTAATATAACAATATAACAATATATAAACTTGGTATCTGAAAAAAGATCCAAATGATATTGTCGCCAGAACCATATAAAATATATCATACGTGTATATATAATAAAATAAAAATACAATTGATCAAATAACTATTAACAATGTAAAAGAAACAAAAACTGAAAATAATTTTACAAATTATCAAGAGTGAAAAAAAGAATTTTGCATTTCAAAAATATTTATATATATTGCCAGTAGAAAGAATATAGTTTTTTAATTTAGTTTTAAAAACGGAAAACGAAATTGACAAATCAAAATTTGGAACTACAATTTTGTTCCATAAATACGGTGCTCTATAGTTTATGCAAAATTGATTAAACTTTGTTTGACAAAAGGGTTCAATTAATAAAGTATTATCTCCTAAAGCATATTTGTTTATAGCTTTATAAGTAAAAAGATCTTTGAAATTGGACAATGGTCGTTCACTTTTACAACGAAACATAAAACATAAAATATTATGGAAATTGAGTTCGTAAATGTTAAGTGCTTTAACGTTTTTAAATAAAATATTTGAATGAGAAAAATGATTTTCGAAACATATTAAACGCATTGCGTGTTTCTGACGATGGTAAAGACTTCGTAACTTACTTTTAGAGGTACTTCCCCAAACAATATTTGCATAATTTATATAGCTATGAATAAATGAGTAGTAGAGTTGAATTAAATTTTGTTTACTTAGATAGTATCTGACCTTATATAGAATTCCAATACTTTTAGCCAATTTAGTAGAAATATAGTCGATATGATACTTCCATGTAATATTTTCATCAATGTAAATGCCTAAAAATCTTGTGACTGACTCCTTTTTTATTTCAATTTTATCAATAAAAAGTTTAGGCAATTTATTTGGTAAAAAACGCTTTTTTGCAAGAGAGTGGAAAAGGATCCATTTTGTTTTGTCAATGTTTAAAGTTAACTTGTTGCACTTAAACCAGTTGGAGATTTGATTGAGTTCTTTATTCATATTTGAAAAAAGCTCATAAATGTCACTGTTTGACAGAAATGAATTAGTATCGTCCGCAAAATTTATACTCATAAGGTTAGAAGCTTTATTTAAATCATTCATATAAACTAAAAACAAAAGTGGGCCTAGAATAGAGCCCTGTGGAACACCACATTTTATGTCAATTAATTTTTCATTTTGAAAATAATCTCCATAGAAAACAAATTGTTTTCTATTTTCCAAGTAACTTTGATACCATTTTATTAATTTGCCATTAATTCCGTAAAATTTGAGTTTTTTAAGTAGAATTTTGTGATCGACCGTGTCGAATGCTTTTGATAGGTCAATGAAAATACCTAATGTATATTGTGATCTACCAAATGAATCGGAGATTTCACGAATGAACTGTGTAATGGCTTGTTCAGTTGAACAATTTTTTTTAAAACCGAATTGATTTTATATAGAAGTTTATTTAGATTAAGGTAATTGTATGTTCTATTGTATATAATTCTTTCTAAAATTTTTGAGAAAGTTGAAAGAACTGAGATAGGGCGATAATTACTAATATTTGATTTTTTTCCGTTTTTGTATTTAGGAGTTACTTTAGCTGTTTTTAATTGGTCGGGGAATACACCTTGCTGTATAGATGCCCTAAAGACTTTATAAAGAATACATTTTAAGTTTTCAAAGCAACCTATGACTATGTTGCCATTTATTTCGTCCGCACCCGTAGCTTTGTTTCTTTTGAGAAATTTGCAAGCTCTCTCAAACTCATCAAAAGATAAGTCAGAATGTAAATTATCTATAAAAAGCGAATTATTTATAGGCTCTAGGAAATCACTAAAATTTTTTTCTGTAATAGGGATCTTGTTTGCCAATTTGGTTGCTATGTCAATGAAATATTTATTAAACTCGTTTGCAATTTCGTTTGGTTCATATATATTTGTTTTATTTATTTTAATTACTTTAGGAAGGAAGTTTGAATTTGTTTTTTGTTTTCCTGTTATTTCTTTCAACGTTCTCCAAGTATTTTTTGAGTCGTTTTTAAATTTACTAATTAAGTTTGAATAATAATTTTGTTTTAATTTTTTACGAATTTTTTCAAATAAATGTTGGTAATTTTTATATTTTTGTTGGTTTTTATTTGATTTTGTTTTTAGATATTTTATATATAGTTTCTGTTTGATTTTAGAGGATTTTCTAAGTCCTTTGGTAATCCATGGACTATTTAAGGTTTTTATTTTTGTTATTTTTTTACAAAGTGGAAAGTTTGCATCGTATATTGAGAAGAACGTATCAAAGAACTTATTATATATTGTATTTGCGTCTTCATTAAAGTTAATATGTTTCCAATGCAGAAGTGATAATTGATATTGGAAGGATTTTATATTGCTCTCATTGAAGACACGTTTTTTTATTATATTTTGTCTTTCGGGGTTATTAGAGGATACAGTATGGATTGTTAGAAAAATGGGGAAATGATCGGATATGTCGGTTTTTATAATTCCTTTTTTTAATTTCCTATTATAAATATCTGTTGTAAAAATATTATCAATCAACGTAGTTGAAGTTTTGGTCTTAAACCAGTCAGATTTTTTGATTAACTCGATGTTCACGTTATGAAATAAAGTAGGAATGCTTTTGCGAGACATAAATAAATTAGTGTCATCAGCAAACATAATTGTTATTAAATTCGAGGCTTTGTATAGATCATTAATATAAATAAGGAAGAGAAGAGGTCCTAATATGGATCCTTGAGGAGATCCACATGTAATATTTAACAAATTTGATGAAAATGATTTATCAGCATAAAAAAATTGTTTACGATTAGTTAAATAACTTTTCAACCATTTTAAAACATTGCCTATTATACCATAATATTCTAATTTTTTAATAAGAATTTTATGATCAATTGTATCAAACGCTTTTGCTAAATCAATAAATATTCCCAATGTAAATTTAGAATTGTTAAATGAGTCTGATATACTTCTTGTAAGCTGAATAATTGCATGCTCTGTTTAATTATTTTTTTTGAATCCATATTGCATGTTATATAATAATTTGTTTGTTAAAAGGTGATTGTATATTCTGTTGTACAAAATTCTTTCTAAAATTTTAGAAAAAACAGAGAGGATGGAAATTGGACGATAGTGTTTTACATTAGCTTTTTCTCCTTCTTTAAATATGGGAATAATTTTTGCTAGAATAATATATATATACATATATATATATATATATATATATATATATATATATATATATATATATATATATATATATATATATATATATATATATATATATATATATATATATATATATATATATATATATATATATATATATATATATATATATATATATATATATATATATATATATATATACACATATATATATATATATATATATATATATATATATATATATATATATATATATATATATATATATACATATATTTATATATATATATATGTGTGTGTGTATAGTATTGATAAAATATATAACTAAGGGAGAATGGGTAGGAGTGAGCCAAGGGTAGGAGTGAATCATTGATCCTCCAG